ATCCCCGCGGGGGATCTGGGGACCCCCGTTCCTGCAGGCTCCTGGAACAGCCCATCCCAGGAGGGTGCATTACAGGGGGGTCATGCACAGCCTGCACCCCCTGTTTCCCCCACCCCATAACCCCTGCTCACCTCTGGGTGCTGATGGGGCACTTCGGGAAGGTGCGGGACACCTGCTGCCACCTCTGCCCTGTGCTGCCCCCTTCCTTGTGGGCTCTGGGGGGACACAAGCCCCCTGTTAGATGACAGTCCTCAGAGCCAGCTGTAGGGGCTGTCCCCCCATTTGTACCCTGTTCCCCATCACCGGAGCAGAAATGGGGGAGACAAAAATGCCACAGGGTACACCCAGCTCACCCCAATACTCCCAGGCCTCCAGATGTTCCCTGTGACCCCAGCACTGCTGTGTCCCCCCTGTGCTAGCCCCCAGTGCCCTGGCACTCACTGGCATTCCTGGGGAGCCCATCCCCGATGGTGACCGTAAGGGTTTTGCCTCCAGCTTTGAGGGAGGCCACGTCGCCCTGTCCTCTGACGAAGGTGACGTTGCGGGTGCCACCGCCGCCCCAGCCCTCCTTCTTCACCCGAAACTGTAGTCTGGGGGTGAGAGAAGCCATGAGGATGCGGTGACAGGACCCTGTCCTGCTTTGTCACCTCTCCTGGCCTCCATCCTTACGTGTCCTTGAAGGAGAGGGGCAGCTTGGAGCGGGTGAGCTCCTCAAAGCGCTTGCACAGGAGGCTGATCAGCTCTGTCTTGAAGATGGACTCCAAGAAGTTGTCGGCATCGTTCTCGTGGAGGATGAAGAAGTCGTCCTGCCTGGTGCTGGGGGAGCAACCAGGGGTGTCAACCCCACCAAGGCCAGTGCCAGCTGGGCTGGGGGGGATTTGGGGACCCCACGGGGCTTGGGTCCACCCCAAGGAAATTTGGAGGGTGATTTGGAAAACTCTCTGGCTTCTGCAAAGCACCCATGGGGAGCCTCCACTCCAGTGGATGAGGGACTGGGGAGCAGCAGGGTGTGGAGAGAGGGGAATCCCAGCCATGGGGAGAGCCCCTGGTAAGGGACACACCTCAGCGAGACGCCGCTCACCGCCTGCAGCTCCACCTTCTTCTTGAGCACCTCCTTGATCTGCCCCTTCTCAGGCCCCTTCTTCACCTTCTCCCGCCCGATCAGGTAGAAATACTTGGGCGTGAGAATGAAATCCCGCTTGATGGGCTGGGAAAGGGCAGGAGAAAGGGGGTGAGGGGGCTTTGCTGGGGGGGCACAAACCCCACAAACACACGTCCCACCTCAGGGAAGAGCCCCCAGGAGCTGCAGCAGCCCCAGGCGTGTCCCTGCACCTTGAACCTCCGGTCGTATTTGGTGACGGAGTCGGCGAAGTCGACGCGCTCCCGCTTGGCCAGGAACTGCCGCAGCTCCGGCCGCTCCTCCATGCCCAGGTAATCCCCCACGAAGTTCCTGTTGATGCTGTTCCTGCGCCGCTCTTTGAAGTTGTAAAGGATGCTGGCAGCTGGGAGGGACCCCAAAGAGGTGCGGGTCTGAAATGGCTCTGTGCTGGTGGCTCAGAGCCCCCCCAAAACGTCACATGGGTCATGGCAGCAAGAAGTGGGGCTTGTTTTATGCCATGGGAGGAATCCCAGCTGCTTGAGCTTGGCTGGCTTTAAAACCCATTAATTGCCTTCAAAAAACCTCGTGCTCTGGAAGGGAGGAATGGACCCAGCTGTGTTCTGGGTTTTCCTCCTTGATTTTTCCTGCTTGCTTGGGAGGGTGGGAAAACCCATGATGGGGTCAGTGGCTTGTCCCATCCTTCTGCCAACACTGACTACAAGCTACTCCCATCCATCCCTGTGCTTGCAATGGAATGCAGAGTGAGACAGCACAAGGCTCCCAGGGCTGGAAATAGGAGCAGGAAATCCCTGCTCTCCTTTCAGAGTGGGAAAAGACTCCCAAAACTCACAGGCCAGTTCCTCCATCACCTAATCACCACTAGTGCCATGATTAGGAGCCAGGCTGCTGCTGTCACAGCTGGGCTGTCCCAGTGAAAAGCACCCTAAAAGGGCTGCTGGGGTGGCACTGTCCCTGTCCTTGCCCAGCCTTACCCTCCTCTCTCATCTGCTCGTATTTGCGGATGGCCACATGCCGGCGCCAGGCCTTCTGGATCACCCGGGCAAAGCTGTCAAATTTCCTCTCCCGCATCTCCTCGAGCAGGAAGAGCTGTGAGGGACAGGCAGTGCTGAGCCAGGACACCCCAAAAACCCTTCCCCAGTGATGCCCAGCCAGGAGTCAGGGCCACGCACCGACTCGGGGTTCTTGACGAACACCTTGCTCCTGCCCATCTGGTACTGGTCTGGGTCCATGTTGACCGAGCGCAGGAGGTGCTGCACCCCTTGGCGCTCGTCCCCGCGCCACGATGGCCACGTCTCGGGGGTGAGGATGGCATAGCTGTGGGGACAGAGCAGGCTCACAGAATCCCACAATAGTTCAGGTTGGAAAGAACCTTAAAGCCCATCCAGTCTTGTCATAGCAGGGACAACTTCCACTGTCCCAGGGTGCTTCAAGCGCTGTCCAGCCTGGCCTTGGACACTGCTCTCCTCTGGGAATCCCCGTGCCAGGGCCTCCCCAGCCTCCCACGGAACAATTCCTGCCCAATATCCCATCCATCCCTGCCCTCTGGCAGTGGAAGCCATTCCCCGTGTCCTGTCCTTCCACCCCTCATCCCAAGTCCCTCTGCCACTTCCTTTAGTGCCTGGAAGGGGCTCTAAGGTCTCGCCCAAGCCTTCTCTTCTCCAGGTTGAGCACCCCCAACTGTCTTCACCTGTGAAGCCATTCCAGGGCCTCCCACACCTTCCTCTCCTCCTGAGGAGGTGCTGTGGGCTCTGCCAGCCCCATGCCAGTGGCCACTCACCGTTGCAGGAACTTGTGGAAGAGGCGGCGGTAGGCGAAGCCTGCCCGGCGCACCCGGATGTTCTCCTTCAGCCCTAGGTACTCAACCTGGTGCTTCACTCTGTACAGCAGGGAGGGACAATGTAGGATGATGACAGGTTAGGAGGAGACCCAAAGGTGCACCTAAAGAGGACACTGTGTCCCCACTTGTGCTCCCTGGGTTAGTGGACAGCTCAGAGGGACCAGCGCAGGGTTGTAGTTTTTGGAGGAAAGCTGGTCCTGGCCACATCTCCATGGCTGGGTCCCCTTCCCTGGGCTCTGTGGGCTCCCTGTTACCTGCTCTCCTCCCAGTCCCGGGGTTTCTTGGTCTCGTTGGGTTTGATGCAGCGGATGTAGTGTGGGGTGCACTTCATGAGCGTGTTCACCAGGTCGTTGGCCTGTTTCTGGTGCAAGGATCGACCTCTGTAGTATCAAAGGGGGTGGTGGGAGCACTGCCCCTGCCACCTCCCCAGAGACAGCTGCCGCTCTGCAGCCCAAGGGACATACCTTGATTTTGGAGCCCGCCGTGGTCGGCCGTCCCTTTTTGTCAGAATCAAGTTTTTCTGGGAAAAGCATCCGGATGAAACCGCTGGAAGGGAGGGGACAGTCCCCAGGTGAGAGCTGCCATCACGGCCTGGGCTGGGGCCAGCTGGGAAATCCTGTACTGTGGGGCTGAGTGCCTCCTCCCTGGCCACCCCCAGGAGCAGGAGCAGGAGAGGAGCAGGAGCAGGAGCAGGAGCAGGAGCAGGAGCAGGAGCAGGAGCAGAGCTGGTGGATGACCCCGCTCTGCCCAACCCTGCAACCCCAGGATGCTCCCGGTGCCCATGGGGCCATGCAGGACTGAGCACCCCAACCCACAAAGGCAGGACCAGCCTTTCAAATCTGCATGTTGAGGACTGTGCCCTGTTCCCCAGCCCTTTTGGGGTGCCCCAGCACTGCCAGACTCACTATTCACTGCTCTGCATGAGCTCGATCAGGTCAGTGAAAAGCACGTCCCGGTTGCGCTCGCAGAAGCCGTTCACATCGTAGGACACCTGGGGACAGGAGGGGACCTCAGCTGCGGCTGTGGGGTGCAGGCTGGGGGCTTTGGGGTGCCCTACCCACCTTGCCAGCGTAGTGGTGGATGACAAAGCCCGAGCTCCAGCTGTTGAAGTGCTCATGGGTGCCCACGGCCGCCTGCAGCTTCTGCAGCAGGGTCTGGTCGGCGCCCTCACCCGTGGCGTGCATTGTGGCACACACGTCATCCAGGACACTCATGATCCCAGGAGGGTTCTGCCACAAGGACAGGGAAGCCATGGCTGTGGCAGGGCCCAATCCTGCACCTGGTCACAGCTGCTTCATGCTGAGCCAGGTGCCCATGGGTACTGCAAGTGTCCAAGGCCAGGTTGGACAGGGCTTGGAGCACCCTGGGATAGTGGGACAAGATGATCTCTAAGGTTCCTGCTAACCCAAACCAGTGTGGGGTTCTCTGCTGCTTGGCAACTCGACAGCTCACCCAGCCCCTGTCCCTGGGTGCCTCTGCTCCCCAAAAGCCTCCCCAGCAGAGGGGACCCCACTCACCAGCTTGTTCTCTATCAGGTCACACACCACCTTGTTGTTGAAGTACTGGATCTGTGTCCACTTGATCCCCTCCTGCACATATTCCTCCTGGGGAAGCACAGGGAGAGCTGGGTGGGCCCTGAGCCCCTGGGATGTGCTGCAGAACCCCTCCTCCAGCTGGGTAGGAGGGGGGTGCAGGAATTGGGGTCCTGGCACAGCCCCACAGCCCCCAGTCCAGTCCCTTGTACCTGCTCGGCCTTCAGGGTCAGCTCAATGAAGATCTGCTGCAGCTTCTCATTCACAAAGTTAATGCAGAATTGTTCAAAGCCATTTTTCTGCATGAAAGATGGAAGAGAAAATGGTGCTGAGTTGTCCTTTGCTCACAGAATTACAGAATAATGAGGTTGGAAGAGACCTCTAAGATCATCAGGTCCAACCTATGCCCTAACACCTCAACTAGACTATAGCACCAAGTGCCATGTCCAGGGTTTTATTAAACACATCCAGAGATGGTGATTCTACACCTCCCTGGGAAGAGCATTCCAGTACTTTATTATTCTTTTGGTGAAAATTTTCTTCCTAATGTCCAACCTGTACCTTCCCTGATGTAGCTGGAGACTGTGTCCTCTGGTTCTGTCAGTGCTGCCTGGTGGAAGACACCAACCCCACCTGTCTGCAACCTCTCTTCAGGGAGGTGTAGAGAGCAATAAGGTCACCTCTAAACCTCCTCTTCTCCAGGCTAAACAACCCCAGCTCCTTCAGCTCCTCTGCCTCATTGTGGGGAACCCAACCAGCAGTTCTTGGGGGCCACTCTAGGGACCTTTTTTGGGGCCACCTGACCCAGGTGCTGTCCCTGCTGTGGGAGCAGGGCAGGACATTCCCAACCACACACACCTGGAATATCTCAAATCCATAGATGTCCAGCACCCCGACGCTGTACTCCTCGTACGGCTTCTGCATGGCCCGGTTGATGGACTGCGGGGACAGAGGGGTCAAACTGGCTGCAGGGCACTGGGATTGGCCATCTCCTGGGGCAGGGGGTGACCATCCCCTCTGAGGCCCACACACCTCCACCAGGAAGTCGAAGACACGGGCGTAGAGCCCCTTGGCCAGCGCGTCGCGGGTGTAGGCCGCCTGCTCCACGTTGAGGGTGACGGTGATGGACTCGGAGCGGCCGCCCCACTTGCTGTCCATTTTCCTGCTGGTGACCTTCTCGTTGAGGCGCTCCTGGTCGACCCCCAGCAGGTAGGCAGGGAAGGCCAGGGCTGGGCAGAGTGGGGCTGGTCAGGGCTGTGTTGTCCCCACCTGGCCATAGTTGAAACCCTCGGCCCCATCCAAGGGTGAAGGACAGCAGTGGGACAATGACAGGGAAAAGTGACACCTCTCCCAGAGCAACACCTGGCATCTGTCCCCTGGCTAATCAATCTCTGGCTGAGCCATTGACTTGCTGCCTCAAGTAAAGTTCATAGTGAGTTGCAAGCTCATTGACGTACATTAGTTATGTACCGGAGCCTTAGGCAGAGCCCTGTTGGTTAGGGCATGTAGCTGTTGACTATAATATCATGGGATCAAAGCCCATCTGTCTGCTAAATTGCAAGGTCCTAGCTTAATTAAAGCACCTGAGTTGCATTTAGGGGATGCAGGGTAATGGCCTGCGGACTTTAGCAGAAACTAAGAGAGTTTAACTCTTGTTTAAGGCTTTGAAGGCCTTTGGTTTAGGTAATCCTAAGTTTCTTAGATAATGGGGAGATAGGATGAGGATGACAGACATGGTGGTTAAGACAGCAGTTATAATGCCTGGTGCTGGTACTGCTTCCCTCCTCTGCCAGGGGATTTGTGGCACAGCCAGTTTGCCACTCCTTCCCACTTGTCCCCTGTGGCTACTCACAGTCAGCGTTCTCCACCCGGGCGTAGTTGCCCTCCTCCCTGAAGCTGATGTTGCCCAGGTGCAGGATCCCTGCCACGATCTGCAGCACCAGCTGCTGGTCCTCACCGCGGATGCCGATGACCTGCATGGCATTCTGGGGGTGCACAGACACCCTTTGAGCCCCCACCCGGCCCCAGAGCTTTTGGGGACTCCCCTCCCTCCCAGGCACTCACCATGGTCTCATGGAAGTCGCTGCGGTCGTCTGTGCCCTCCACCTGGTAGGTGTCTGTCTGGTTCAGGTAGAAGTAATAATCCGGGCTCATGATGCCCAAATTCTGCTTCTGCTCTTGGGATGCTCCTTGGATGAGCTGGGAGGGGACAGGGGGCTGTGGTCAGCCAGCTCCTGGTCCCCCCTGCAGCCTGGTGGCTCCAGGCCACCCCCATACTGTCGCCATGATATTTTCTGAAAAATCGCTTTGCCAGAATTTTTCTCCTGAGAAGCTGAGAGGCCTCAGAAACGAAATGTAAACAATGATTATCTGCTGCTGTGGAATGCAACAGGTGCATCTGTGATTGGTCTCATGTGGTTGTTTTTAATTAATGGCCAATCACAATCCAGCTGCCTTGGACTCTCTGGTCAGTCACAAGATCTTATTATCATTCTATTAGTTTTTATTCCTTGCTAGCCTTCTGATGAAATCCTTTAGTCTGTTCTTTAGTGTAGTTTTAATATATCATTAATATATTAATGATATATCATATTATATTATATTATATTATATTATATTATATTATATTATATTATATTATATTATATTATATTATATTATATTATATTATATTACATTATATATATTTTCTTTTAATATCATATATATAATAAAATAATGAATCAGCCTTCTGACACATGGAGTCAAGATTCTCATCTCTTCCCTCGTCCTGGGACCCCTGTGAACACCACCACATTTTGCGACCCTGAATGAAAAAAAATTCCACCCCATACCTGGTAGTAGATGTGGAAGTTCCTCTCGCACTCGTTCTGGCTCACCACGCGCGACTTCTCCAGCAGGAAATTGGAGATCTTGCCCCCATCAGGTTCTCCTCCCCGGCTGAACTGGATCTCAAAGTATTTTCCCTGGTCCAGCACAGATCCTGCTCAGAGCTGTGGCCCTGCCTCAGGGGTTCCTCATTCCCCCCAAGCCCTTCCCCGCCACACCAGGAGCTTTGAGGGGTGTGCAAACCCTGGCTGAAGGTTTCATGGTTTATGTGGAGACCTCATTGCCCCCTCAACTG